TTTCAAAACATTTTAAAAAAATTTTTTATTTGTTTTGGGCGGCCCTGAGGCGTCCCTGCAGAGTGCACGTGAGGAGGAGGCCCTCAAGGGTAGCTTTTATTCTTATCGTACACGAGGCCGCACAGGAAGAGAAGTAACCAAGCCAGGATTTGAGCCAGCATATCTGCCACGCTCTGCCCCCTCGCCGGGCTCAGGACCAGTGGGGCAGGGTCCCCAGGAGAGCATGGATCAGAGCAAGGCCCTGGTGCCCTGGGCCAAGAGGCAGATTCCAGGCCTGGGCTAAGATGTTCCAGGGGGCAGCCCCACCCAGGCTGCCCCGCCCCACCCAGGCTGCCCCGCCCCACCCAGGTCCACTGAGCCCAGCCTTTGGAGGCTGCAGGGTCCCTGCAGGAGCTGGGTCATGGGATGGTGGAGGATGGAAACAAGCCACTCACCAGGTAAGCAGGGCTCCCCACGAAGGCTCCCAGTGCTCCTGCCACAGCTCCTGCAACCACGGTGCCACCTGGTTGCTGCGTGAGGCCAGCCTGGCATGCCAGGCTGTAGCAGTAGAAACGAACGCCGTTCATGAGGCCTTGGTACAGAAGGCCAGCAGCCAGCCCCTTCTGCAGGCCCCACAGCCCGTCTGCTCGGGCCACAGCAGCGACAGAGGCCATGAAGCCCCGGTAGGGCTGTGGGTAGGTGCCCCGGGCCTGCAGCTCCCCCTGCAGCTGCAGTCGTGTCTTCACCACCTCCAGGGGGTTGGTGAAGACACAGGCCAGGCAGCAGGCCGAGGCACCCAGCACCAGGTCCACTGCTGGGGGGACTGTCTCCACAGCCTCCGCGCCAGTGGCCTTCTGTGCCCGGGCCAGGTGCATGGCACAGGCCCTGTGGTGGTGGCGTTTAGGCTGTCTGTAACCTCGCAGGGCCACGGGGCCGGGGTTTGCAGGGGCCTGAGGCCATGTCTAGAGGGTAAGAGTCCTGGTCTGACAGTCCTGTGGCTGCCTGGAGTCCCTGGTCTATCTCAGCAGTCCACCTGCTCTGCTCAGCTGTTCCAGTGGTCTGCTGGAGCCTGAGACACGCCTCCACCGGCTGTGACCAATCCCAGCTGCTTCTGTGCTCACACCTGCCAGCCGAGGGCGGGCCTGGACCCTGGGATCTGGGGGAAAGGTCACTTGGGACTGGACGGAGAGCTTGGATAGGGAGAAGGTGCCAACCAGCTCAGGCTCCTCCTCCTGGTCTCCCTCTGGCCCTGGGTAAAGGGCTGGCACCCCTGCCTTGCCTCTGGCTTAGCCTGTCCAGCTTTGGCAGCGCCCTGGGCAGGGGGCAAGTGACTGGGAGGTCCCTGGCATGGGGTACATGGCCAACTCTGCCCCTGTCCCACTCTGCCCCTGATGTGCCCCTGGTGACTGACTTCCCCTTTCCAGGACTCAGTCTTCCAGTCTGGCTCCCACCATCTATAGGCCCATGCTCAGCAGGGTCAGAAGTAGAGAAGGGCTCTGGAGCCCTGGGGGGAGGACTGGAATCCCAGGTGTGGCTCTTATGTGCGACCCTGGGCAAGTCACTTCCTCTCAGAGCTTCACTTTTTCTCCTTTGTAAAATGAAGACACTGACATCCACTCCAGAAGGTTCTGTGGAGGAGTGGTGATGAGAACAGTGTGCCTAGGTCAGTGCCACGCCGAATAAAAGGCACCCGCATTGCCTGCTGGCCCCCACCCCCACTGCCTCCAGCTCCTATGCCCCCCTCACCGCTCCCAGGACTTCAGGGCGCCTGGGTGAGTAGGAGTTGAGGAGTGACCTCAGCTGGTAAGGACTTGCAGCCAGTCCTGCCCTCCTGCTGGGGGAGCCCCTCCTGGGCTGGGCAGGAGGCTCTGCTGCTCCCTGAAGGAATGGCCAGGCAGCCAGTGGGGCAGGAGGCGGCCCTTGGATGCCCTTTGTGCCTGCTGAGAAGAGAGCGCCACCTGGGCCAGCGGTCAGGTGTGTCTGCTCAGGCTGGGGCCGGCACCAACATGCCCACTTTGGCCTCTGCCCCCAGACAGCTCTCTCCTGCCAGGCCACCCTCAATCACCCAAGGCCCAGTCCAAACCAGAGGCAGAGCCACCAAGGCTGGCGTCCCACACCCACCTCCCGGGGCCACCCCTTCCCTCCCAGGCCCTTGAGGCAGCAGTGCTGAGTGGCTTGAGGGCCTCGAGCTCCCGGCCTGGCAGGCTTGTCACCCTCTGGCCAGCCCCGGAGAGGACGGTGCAGCAAGAGGCAGCAGGAAAGCTTGGATTCTGCTGGCTTTGGGCACTCACTCCCGGGGCTGTGGAGGCAGGAGTGTCCCGCCCCGGGATGGGCTGCAGATGGTGGGCGGTAGTGCAGATGTGCCCTGGGGCTTGAGCTGGTGGCTGCTCCTCCCCTGGCCGCTGTAGCAAACGGGAACAGGAGGGAGGGCAAAGGTCAGGCCGAGAAACTCCCAGGGCCTGAGGGCCTGCAGTGAGTCCACCCGGCAACTGTGGCTCATCTGGTTCTGCATATCCTGTGTGTCCCTCGTGTCAGGCACAGGGCAGGATGGAGGAAGGTTTTCGGAAAAGGGCCCAAGGGATTTGGAGACCTCCCTTCCCCTACCCTGCTCACAAAGGGCCAGTGACAAGCCTCGGCAATATAACATGTCTATTTTATTTTAAAAAACACAACCCAAACCACCTGAGCCCTTCCCCAGGAGGCTCTGGACGAAACTCTAGGGAAGGGCCTGGCTCCAGCCAAGCAGGGGACAGTCAGAAGATGTCAACATGGATGCCAGGCTGGTGGGCTCTGCCCTTCTCCAAGCACCCCATCCACCCCTTTTGCTCCTTGGTGCTACAGGCACTGCCAGGTTGAAGGGAGAGGCAGGGCAGGACCGTGGGCATGCAGAGCCTCCTGGCAGCCAGGGAGGGCTGCCCGCCCCCTGCATCTGGCGAGGCAGGCAGCTGTGTGTGTGGTGATGGAGCTAGGAGGAAGCATGCGCAGACACCCCATGTTCCTGCTTCCCCACGCGGCCAGGAGAGTGTTCAAACACGAACAAGGATGGTTGGGCACTCAGGGCCCCAGCCCCCAACCCAGGAGAGGAAGAGGGGGCTCCCGCCCTCCTGGTTCTTTCGTTCTTCCTTAGATCGATGCTGTTCTCAGGGCCACTCGGCAGAGATTCTGCAGACTGAGGCAGAGGCCCGGGAGGAGGGCGTGCATCCGCAGAGCCCACAGGGCTCAGACCCTCTGCCCCCGGCGACCTCCGTTCGCTACCTGTCAGGCAGGATGCCCAGGGGTGCCGGGCACCTGATCTGGATCCCTGGAGTGGAGGGACCCTGTCTTAAGCCACACTCGGTTTTTTCTGCCGCCCGGGGCAGGGGTGGGCTGTAGGCTCCCGACAGTATGACGACAGCCGTGACAGTGTGCCTGTCGGTTGGCGTGCCTTCCTTTCCTGCCCACCAGGGACGCCAACCAGCTCTGCCTCAGCACCAGGGGTCTCGGGAGGCTCGGCCGCGGCAGAGACTGTCGCTCCGCTGCCAGGCGCTGTGGATGAGGCTCAAGGCATCCTCGAATTTCTTCTTGTTGGAGGCTTCCTGGATCGCCGTGTGGGGGAGGTCCACCTGTGTCGAGGGCGTGCAGAGAACAGATGAGGGCTGCAGCAGTCTTCAGGGCTTGTGGGCACCATGCCTGGCTATGCCTTGGCCACTGCGCCTGTCAGGCCCTCCCATACCTCCCTGGGAACAGCTTCCACGCTGCCAGTTTCTCCTGCTCTTGCCAGGGGCTTGAGCTGAGGATGGGGTGGTACCCGCTGAGCCCCCTCTTTCCTGGGAAGGCCCCAGCCCTCAGTATGGCCCAGCGAGGCAGGCGCTGCACTCTGGCTCTGCAGGGAGGTGGTCTGTCCTGAGCTGTTCTCTGCCTCCGGCTAGTCCAGGCTTCCACGGGGCTAGAGCACAGCACGTGCTCAAAACCCACTTGTGCAGGGCTCTCATGAGCGCCCTCCCACACTGGCGCTAAGCCTGGAGGGTAAGGAAGAGGGTACTGCCAATCTTGTGCCCCCACCATCTGAGCACAGCTGGAGGTCCACCACCATTCGTGCTGTTTGATTAGAACTGAGGTCAGGAATTAAGTTTCTTGGGTTCTATTTTCAGCTTCGGCCTCAGACTCGCTAGGAGTCAGGGTTTTGCCCCTTTGGTTCTAAGTTTTTGTGCCTGTCAGGTGTGTCTGCTCAGTCTGGGGCCGGCACCAACATGCCCACCTTGGCCTCTGCCCCCAGACAGCTCTCTCCTGCCAGGCCACCCTCAATCACCCAAGGCCCAGTCCAAACCAGAGGCAGAGCCACCCAGGCTGGAGTCCCACACCCACCTCCCGGGGCCCACCCCTTCCCTCCCAGGCCCTTGAGGCAGCAGTGCTAAGTGGCTTGAGGGCCTCGGGCTCCCGGCCTGGCAGGCTTGTCACCCTCTGGCCAGCCGAGGAGGGGACGGTGCAGCAAGAGGCAGTAAGGACAGCGAGGACTCTCCTGGGTTTGTTTCAAGAGCAGCAGGCACTCACCCCCCAGGTCTGAGGCAGGAGTACCCTGGTACATGGCTGTGCCCAGGACCCTAGAGGCAGGGCCAGGTCCTGGGAGCAGCTAGGGTTCGTCTCCCCAGGGAGTGGCTCCCACTCCACAGGGTCCCTGGCTAATGGGGTTCCTGGGCAGCTGGGTACCTGATAAATGGTTTTCCACCCAGAGTTCAGTGCAGACAGCAATCGGTCCAGTTCAGAAGTGCAGCTCAGGTAGATGACCCAGGGCGGAAGGAGCTGCTGGCTGTCCTGGGAGAACTCCTAGGGAGAGCCAGGCCCCCGGTGAGCAGTCAGAGCTTTCCTTCTGCAGGACCTGCATCCCCGCCCCCACCCCCAGCTCACCAAGACACAGTACTCCTTGCCCGGCTCAGTGGAGACAGCGCTGATGTCGCCCAGCTTGGCTGTGCCCAGAGAGCGGAAGAAGCTGGTCTGGCAGTCCTCATGGCACGTGAAGAGGCGGTCATCGGTGAGGACCAGGCAGCAGGGGATGCAGGGGCTGGGAGCTACGCCCTGAGGGATGACCTGGCAGCGGGGCAGGGGAGAGGCAGGCTGGGGCCTCCAGGGCTGGTCTGCACCAGAATTCCCCACTCCAGGGGACCCAGCCAGCCCTTCTGCTCTCCCTCCAGGGATCAGGAGTAGAGGTGGGGATGGGAGTGATGCCCCTGAGCTCCAGGGTCCATTCCTGGGCTGCCCCCTGCAGGTCTTGGCCCTCAGGTTGCTCTGTGACTCTGGGTTTAGAGATGGGACCCTGGGGGTCTGGGTGGGTCAGGCAGGCCAGGTGAGCGGTGGGGGCAGGCAAAGCTCACCCCTTTGGACACAGCCTGGCAGAGGTGCTGCATCCACTCGGCCATCTCGGCCTCACTCTCGGCACTCAGCTCCAGGCAGGGCCGGTCGGAGAGAATGACCTGGAAGGCGTGGGGCCGATCCGTGGTGTTGGCTCTCCGGCAGCCACCGCACTGCTCCCCCCTGGGCCAGAGGAGGAGGGTGAAACGGGAGCAAGAAGGCAGGGGCAGCATCGAGGGGCAGCCCCCAGGGTTGGTGCAGGGTGTGCGGCACAGGGTCTGTCCCACCGTCCTGGGGGCTGGAGGATACCAGAGGGCTCTCCAGGCCCCTCCAGCTCCCAGGAGAAGTCTGGGAGCCCCACCCACCACCTTTCTGTGTAACACCTTTCATCTCCAGAATGCCCAAGGTCTTCTAAATCCCCAAGCATGGCCAGGTGGGGCTGGGAATCAGCTGTCCCTCTGGCCCTCTGAGAATCGGCCTCATTCATTCATGCGTGCTTCCTCTTGAGGGCCCGCTGTTCCTTCCGATTACCCGAATGTCCATCTCCCATCAGGCCGGGAGCTTCTGGGGAAGGGCCTGCCTCCCCCATCAGACGGGACCTGTTCTAAGCCAGGAGCTCCTTGCTGCCTCCCTCATCCCCTCCTGTGGGCTCCTTGCAGCATTCAGATCGTGGAAGCCCCAGGCCACCTGTCAGGGCCGCTGGATCGGGTGGGGCTGAGGGCGAGGCTGAACTGCCAAGCGGGGAGGACATCTCGAACGAGGGAGACGGCAGCTCTGGGCCCCAGGACACACCCCCTTCTCCCGGGACACTCACCCCATGTTCACTGAGAGCAGAGGGATGACATCGGTGCGGTCCGGGTACTGGTAGAGGATCCCGTTGCTGCAGGGACACAAAACAGGGCGAGTGAGCCCTGTCCCAGGAACTGGGGCCAGGCAGAGCCCAAGTCCCAGGGTTCCCCTCCCACACACATGCTGTGGCCATGAACCTGAGGCAAAGGAGGCCAGGAGCTGTCATCTACGGAAGGGAGGGTGAAGAAAGCCCTGGGGGCCCAGCAGGGAACGTGGCCACCTCAGCAGACCTGGGACACAGCTCAAGGTTCATCAGAGGGACCAAGCCTGCGTCCTCCCCTGAGGCACTCAGGGATTCCTGGGCCCCGAAGATGACTGGCTGTACAGAGAAGCTCTAACAGCCTGAGCTAGGTCGACTCCAAGCTCTTATAGGGAAGAGAAGCGTCCTCTTCTCAGGCTGCTCCCTAAGTGACCTGCTGCGGAGAGATCCCCGCTGGGGACCTGACCGCCCAGCCACCCCAGGGCCCAAGCCCCAGGCCTGGAGCTGCCAGGGCTCCCACCTAAGAACCACAAAGCACGTCTTCCAGTGTTCCTTGCCCAGGTAGGAGGTGCCCGCCTTGTAGTGCAGCATGCCTTCTTTGGTGATGGTGCCCTCGGGGGGTGAGCAGTGG